GGAGAAAAGCTGGCTGCATGGCCTGCAGGTGAGAGCGCACTTGGCATGTTCCAGCCGCAGCAAAGCCTAAGAAAGAGACAGGAGATGAGGCCCCAGAGGTGCTCGGCGGCTCGGCTGTGTCCTTCTTTAATGTTAGGGTTCAATTCCACATTTAGGAGACATGCCTTCACACCAGAAACAAAACAGTGCCCCAGGGGAGGTTTTAAAAAAAGTACAAGCGACTACCGAACCTGTTCGGTAATGAACTCTCTCCAGGGTTCAACCTCTCTGCCTGGTGTGCTGTTCTTCAGTCTCTTCTGCTAGAGCCACGGATAGCCTGGCCACTGCGTGCTAACAGTTCAGTTTTCAAAGGGAGGTACATCTTTTAACTCCCGTCTGTGTCAAAACCCAGCACCAAGCACTCCATGAGACATACATACTGACTTCACAGTAAATACTGTGACATCCTAGCACATAACTCGGAAGAAGCACAGCATCCGGCATGTTAGCATACAGCCCGAAGCCTGCCCGGGCCCAGCCGTGGCCCAGCACAGCTGCGGACCTGATCCTGGGGAGCCGGGGGCCGAGGGCCTGGGGAGCAGCTGGCTCCAGTACTGGGTGATGCCCGCAGGCGGAGCAAAGGAAAGGCCCGGCTCATTTCCTTCTTTCTCGCCTCTCCCTGCCCCCCGCCCAGAGCAGGCCACCCGGACCCAGGCCAGACTATAATAGATTTCACTTGAGGTTCAGACAGCTCGCTCTCTGTGGGACTCCCCACTTCCTGAAACCAGAGGGCGCAGGCAGGGCTCTTGTGCTGAGTCACCAGCCGGCTGTACATGCGCTCTCAAACCCCAGGCCACGGGGCTCGGCGCCTCCTCGGTACAGGGAGCCCTGGCCCACATGGAGAGCATCTGAGAAGAGGCTACTGTGACCATCGGGACTTAGGACAAAAAAGGATGCGTTAGCTTCTCCCAGCTTCAGAAAATGTGGCTGCTCAGATAGGATTACATAAACCTCTGTCCTTGTCTCTCCAGCATACACTGGCCCCGGCTGCCTAATCACAGCAGTGTGCATTTTACACGAGGCCTGAGTTTATCCGGTCAGCACATGCACAAGCCGGACGAAGATAACAGAAAATTCTAGCCCGCAGGGAGCCGCCGGGCGCCAGCCCTCGGAGCTGAGCCACGGCTGCTACCTGAGGTCCAGCCTTGCCGGCAGATAGGTTTTGGTAAGTTAGTTACCGACTACACAAATCACGCAGTTTCACCTAAACATCTGAAACTGGAGATGCTCTGGAAAACGTGGAAGATCCGGCCTTTAGATCTTTTGGTGCTGAACCAGCTGGCCTCAGACAGAAGGTGCTGGAAGACACGCTCCCGGGGCCAGCACCCCAGCATCCCCTGCGGCTCCCCCGTCAATGCCTGTCCTTCTGAGGGTGCCCGGGACCCTCGTCTAGCCCAGGCCCCAGAGGGGAAGCAGGTCCAGAGGATGTTGCATGTTTCCCCAAGGTCACTCAGTCCGGTAAAAGCCACACAGGAACCAGAATCCGGGTCCTCGTCCCAAGACGCTCCCATTCCCCGGAGCTCTGGCCGGGATGTAGACTGGCCACCTTCAAAGCAGCAGTGTCTCAGGTGACACAGCGCTGAGGTGCTTCTCGTTATAAACCGTCGCTGGGAGCGGATGAAGGCACCAAAGCTGGTGCCGTGCAGACCAGGGGGCTGGAGGTCTCCGGAGCAGAGGCGTGTCCCGAGGGCTTTGACCAGAAGTCACCATATTTAACCGTGCAGGGCAAAGCGGGCCTGAGCGGAAATCGCATCTTCGTGCAACTACAGTGGACACGTTAGAAATGGCATTTCTTGCCTTTTTTTTTCCTTAGAGATTTTTTTTTAATGCAAGAATTCTGCCCATCATTATATTAATTTATTTTAAGACATATAATGAAAATAAATGGGTAATCAGTGGGGCCTTTCAAGATCCTTTATAAGCAGGGATGTCATTTTCCTCCTAAGGTTTATCGATTGGCCACCTAAAACAGTGGTTCTCAGCCTTCCTAATGCCTCAACCCTTTAATGCAGCTCCTCATGCTGTGGTGACCCCCCAACCATAAAATTATTTTCGTTGCTACTTCATAACTGTAATTTTGCTACTGTTATGAATCATAACGTAAATTTCTGTGTTTTCTGATGGTCTTAGGTGACCCTGCTAGCGGTTCTCAATATGTGGGCGCTACCCACAGGTTGAGAACCACTGCTGTAGAGCCTAGTACTTCTGCTGTTTGCCCGGGCAGAAGCATTCCACATGTATGTGTGAGAGTATGCTGGCACTGATGACCCCATGTGCATCTTTTCCCCTGTACCAATTCAGAATAGAAATGAGACTTTTCTTACATCCCCTTCTCTACATACCAGTGGCTTAGCATCATAATTCCATCCTGTTTCCACGGAAGCTCCAATTCCACCTGCACCATTTCCATAAACCTGTCACCTTGACAGGATTTAAAAAGAAACCAAAATACAGTCAATAATACTGTAATAATGGTGTATGGTGCCAGGCAGGTACGGGGAATATCGGATTAACACTTTGCAGAGTATTGTTGTCTAGCCACTATCCTGTACACCTGAAACCAATACAAAATAATATTGGATGTAAACTGTCATTGAAAAAGGTTAAAAAAGAAAAAAGAAAGCAAAATATTTCTTTGAAAAAACTATGCAATCTTGAAAATGAACCTCCAAATCCCCTTAAAATACAACAACAAAAATCCTGTAGTAACCAGGTGGTAACAAGGACAACACGGATGTGACAAGTGCAACATGTGCCATGCTTCACTCCTTCCTCACTCGGAGCCGCCGTCTAAAATGGGGTGCCCAGAAGAGCCACTGAGCCGGTCCGGCGTGGTGCTGCTTGGTGATGCCGCAAGGTCATTTGGAATCGCAGTTGCCAAAATTAAACTGGCACTTGGCTAAAATAGCACTTTGCATCCCACACTGTGACAGAAAGTGCCCACGGCTCAGGCGGCCTCAGGACAGAGCACTGCTCACAGAGGGACCAGCGGCCAAGGCCGCACAGAGAAGTCCCTGCCCAGGCTCCACGTCCCACGTCTCTTTGCCTCCCAGCCTCTGCCGTTTGAAGCAGGCCGGGAGGAGGCATGCAGGGGTTGGGCAAAGAAAAGGAGGGCTCTGCTTTGTCCCCGCCAGAGTGGCTTTCTCCCTCGCTCCCACCTCCCTCGGGATCAAGGCCAGCTCCTTGCGAACCCTCCTGAGTGGCCAGAGGAGGAGGTTAAAGGCAACGGGAAGGCACTGCTGCCAGGCTGAGATCACTGCCTCTGTTCCGGCTTCCTCACCGCACAGCCCAGGAGTCCAGTGCAGCTAACGGGTTAAACACGTTCCTTGGGAACCAGGCAGGGAAAGATTCCTGGGGCCGCGCAGGTGCAGAATTACAGCCTGCACAGTTCACCACGCCACGGTGCCCGGCTCTCAGTGGGAGCAACGCTCGGCTTTCCTTATTTTGCCATGTTAAGAAAAAAAGAAATGAAATAAATGTTCTGCTCCCTTAGCATAGGACCAAGACGAATCCCTCTTAGACCAATAGTAAGTGCTCTCAGCAAGTATTTCTGGCATGGTCAGCACAGTTTTGTAAGGTTTTATCATATGTTCCTGTCCACCTGCACCTCCGGCCAGATACTGAAGTGTGTGGTCCACAGACGGCCAGGTCAGGGTCAGGCCATGGGCATAACAGCTAACGGGCTATGTCTCCACAGCACAAATCCACACAGCTCAGAACTCCACACGCAAAGGACGTGTTCAGCTGGTCATTGTGAAAAACGCAAACAAGAGAGAATGTATCTTTTCTTATCCAACAGAGAGAAAAGCCAGCGGGTGCAAGACACACAGCGGAATAGTTTGTTCCCTCCTTTTTTATTGAGGCACGACACAGTACAACAGAGGTCAAGTCCAGCTCGGTGGAGGTGTTCAAGCTACCCCTGCGAAACAAATAAACCTGGAAGAGCCCGAGTCCAGTGGCTTGAACAAAAAAGGAGGCAGCAAAGGCCTTTTAAACGCCTCAGCAGCCACATCTGCATGCAGCAGAGAGGAAGACACAACATAAAGTTTCCCGTGAGAAGCAAACACGGCCAGTCCTGGAGGAGCCGGGGTATGCCTTTAACAGGCTCCCCCGCACCGCTCCTCCGCACCACGTGCCCCCTGGTGCCCTTATCCCGTCAGCCTCTGTGAGACCCGGGGATTAGCAGGCATCACGCTGCTCAGGCCGGAAACGCAGGGTAGTCTGTGCCATTATCCTCCTCTCCTCCCAGCCGACTGCAAAAGGGGCCTCAGCTGCACGTGGCTGCCTCCTGAGCCAGAACGGCCGTCTGCTCCCGGCAGACAGCTGGTCGTGAACTCGGGGCTCCCAGTGGCCTCTGTACACCCACCTTCCCGCTGCAGGAGGCAGAGAATTCGCCTTCCTTCTCGGATATAAAGCTGATCATCTGATTTGTCACACGCTTTGTTCAGAAATACAAAATCCAATATCCCCTTCCCCCCCAAAAAAAGAATATTATTTTTCAACACCTTCATTGTCAACATATTAGCAAACAGCTTCACGTTAATATTCAGCAGAGTGGCTTGGGAAATTAATTCTAAACACAGAGTGTAACACAGCCCCCCAAATACTAAGAATTCCCCAAACGCTGAGTCCAAAAAAAAAAAAAAAAATCGAATCCCTTAGACCAATAGGTTTACAAAGTAAATGAGGCGCTGCACAAACCTATCGGCAAATGTTGGTGTACACGATTTCCATTTAATGTTTGGGGGAAAATTTAAAAACTGCTAATACATGTCATGATTTAAAAAAAAACACATTAAGCAAGAAAAAGTAAAAAACAACAAACCTTCCGTCTTTCAACAGAACTTATCTGGAATTGTACCTTTTTCCTCTCTATTATACCTGACGAACTTTAAGGTGATGCGGGCAACCCCAGCTCAGCTGGGATTGCAAGCTGCCCCCCTCCTGCCAGCATCAGTTCTTTAGAAGGCTCCGATCTCCGTCCCCCACGGTCTGTAGGGCTTGCCCAGGTTTGCCGCCTGCGTGGGAGCCGAAGGGCTCAGCGCGCTGGGGGAGAGCAGGTGGAAGGAGCCGAAAGAGAAGGGGAAGGCGGCGGAGAGGGAGGCCACGGAGGAGAGCAGGGGCGGCGACAGTTTGGAGGCGGATGTGACCACAGGGAGCACCGCTCCAAGGCCGCCGCCAGGGGGCGCTCGCAGGGCGGGCGCCTCGGGGTGCGCCGCGGCCAGGCGGCCCTGGGGGTGCGGGTCCGTGGGCGAGGCGGTCGCCGAGCCGCCGTTCCCGTGGCCGCCCTGGGGCGGCGGCGGCAGCAGCAGCGGGGGCGCCCCGTGCGCGGGGTGTCCGAAGGCGCTCGCCCAGGGCAGGGGCGCGAGGCCCGCGTGCGCGCCGCTCGCCGCTTCCCGCTGGGAGGCGTAGTTGTTCAGGTGCGACACCAGCCGCACTCGCAGCGGGTCCGAGGCGTCCAGCCCTTCGATGATGCTCAGGTAGCGGGCGACCTCCGCCAGGCACTCCCGGAACCCCAGACTCCGGTAGTCCATGGCCAGGGCGTGCGCGTCGAAGTAGCCTGGGGCAGGAAACAAAAGACAACCCTCTAAAACGGCCCCGCCTCCTCGAAACCAGTGTGGATAGAGCGTCGGCCTGGGGACTGAAGGGTCCAGGGTTCGATTCCGGTCAAAGGCCTGTGCCTTGGTTGCGGGCACATCCCCCGGGGGGGGGGGGGGGGAGGGTGTGTGCAGGAGGCAGTTGACCGATGTTTCTAACTCTCTATCCCTCTTCCCTCCTCTCTGTAAAAAAAATCAATAAAATGTATTTTAAAATAAATAAAATAAATAAAACGGCCCGCTTTCCTCCGATCTCAGGAGCAGCCCTTCCCAGCAGAGACCTGTGTCCTGAAAAGATGGCATTCACAGGCTCTTCCAAAAGTCCAAATACTGTGGGGTCGCCCCAAATCTCTGCCTTAACCAACAGGAGACGGATTCGTTCGCTAATGCGAGTTCAAAGCCCAATGAGAAGCCGCTTAGCAGAAATTAGAATTGTACCCTACCAGGCAGATGAAACTAAGCTTGTTCCTTCCTTTAATGTTTGCCCCCAACAACAACAGAACATACATCAAGGGCAGGGAAGCCGCAGCGCCGGGAAATGCATTAGACACGCAGATGTAAGCCATCAGGCAGCTCTCAGGCACTGGGTCCCGCCTGGAGAGACACAGGCCCCGGCCGGCCCCACCTTCCCTGAGGTTCGCTCTGCTTAGCCACAACAGGTTTCTTTCCTCAAGTCCTGTGGCAGCTCTTTTTTAAAAAAAATTCTGTACATAAAATTAACACCATATACTTTTTAAAAAGCTCTCTCCTCAACATGGCAATACACACATGAGGGGAAAGCTACCTGATCTTCAGGACTGCCACAATTTTAGGGCATTTCGCACCTAATAGGTATTTCCCATAAGAAGGAGCTAATGTGTGTGTGGGGGGGGGGGGGGAGGGCGGAGAAGGGGGTTGGGGCGATGAATTCCATGGAGAAAAACCTCTGTGCGTTTCAGAACGCACATACGGGCAACTGCACGCACCTCGCAGCTCCCCCCCCCCCCCCCCCCACAAAGCACCCAGGAAAAACAAGGCAGCGGCTGCACAGACCCGGCCTGCACAGAGGCTCGCTCTGCCCCCACCCAGCCCGGGCAGGGGCGGGCACACGCACCTTTCCCGCCCGCGGTGTGCAGCATCTTCAGGTGGTCCACCGTCATCTGCAGGATCTCGGCTTTTTCCAGCTTCGCAGAGCCCTGGGGGAGGGAACAGCGAGAGATTGACTGGCACCACGTGCCGGCGGGGGAGCAACTTACAATGCACATGCATATCTGTGCTGGGTGCATCCTGACAGCACAGACTAAGGCAAAACGAGCTGTCTTCCAAAAAACGTGTTGGATCTGTGTGAATTCTCCTGAGCACAACAAGCAACACGGCTATTTTCCAAGGCACGGAGAGGTTGGAGTGCATGGCCGGGAAGGCATCGGGGGTGGGTGGCTCCCCTGGGCAGCTCTGCCTACTTTCTCCATTACCTGCTTCTCAAAGGCGCTGGGCACCAGCCTCCTCAGCTCGGACAAACTGTTATTGATCCGATCCCGCCGGCGTTTCTCGATGATCTGCAGAAAGCAGGCAAAACAAAGGAGGACATTTCCATGACGGCTGGAAATCCCAAAGTGAAGAAAGGTGGTTCTTCCCGTTAATTTTTTTTTTTTTAAGAGCACTGTAAAAAGGACTCACGCCTCTCCGTCTTTTCCTGGCCAGGATCTGCGAAGACGTCGCTGGGGACATGCAGCCTAGGGCCGAACTCAAGTTTCTGGACGACCGTAAGAAACAAACAGGAATCGCCGTTAGGAGAGGGGAGGGGGTCTGAAGGGTCGCCCCCCACGCTCTGTTTACCCGCACTCAGATCGTCCTTGCAACTCGGGCCTGACAGCGCCCGGGGGCCCCGCGCAGAGGGCTGCAGCGGGAAGGCAGGGCGCCGGGGCCCGGGCCCGGCCCGCGCCCGCTGTCACCGCAGCCGGCCCGCCCCGCCTCCGCTCCGCCGGCGACTCACCCGCTCTCATCCGCGCTCTCCTTCTCCACCTCCACCGGCTCGTCCAGCTCGCTGTCCGAGGAGCTGAACTCGGGGTGCGCCCGCTTCATGCTGGCGGCGCGGGGCTCCGGGGCACGGGGCGCGGCGGGCGGGGAGGCGATCGCAGCGGCGGCGGCGTCTCTCCGCGGCCGCCGGCGGCTCGGGCTCCGCGCACACTGCTCCGCTCGCGCGCCGCCTCCGGTTAAAACTCAGCCATCCCGTTCCCACGCTGCGCCCCCGCCCGGGGCCCTGGGGAGGCCGGGGCGTGCGGGGGGCGGGCGCGGGGGCGGCGCGGGGGCGGGACGGCGGCTCCCGGGCAACCGCCTCCCCTCCGCCAATCCGGCGGCTCGCCCCGCTGATTGACAGCTGCTCGGGGGCGGGCGCGGACCAGGCTGGGGGCCAGGGCGAGCCCCGCGACCGCCCCCATGCCCGGCCCCGCTTGGCGGCGCTGCGCCGGCTGGCTCCTGGGGGCTCTGCCGGCCGCCGCCGGTGGGGAGGAGGCCGGGCGGGAGCCCAGCGCGCGGGCGGCCGCGACCCGCCCCGCCCCCCCGCAGCCGCGATGGGCCTGGCCGCGCGCCAGGGGCCGCGCCTGCAGCGCCGCCGCCGGGCCGCACGCGCCGCGGGCCGTGGGAAAGCGCCGGCGCCGCGGCCGCCAGCCAATCCGGCGGCGGCGGCGGCGCGGGCGGCGGCGGCGGCGCTGGCGGCGGCCGCATGAATGGAGAAGAATAGGCGGGCGGGGCGCGGGGCCGCGCGAGGGCGCGCCGGGGGGCTGGGCGGCCGGGCCCCGTGTGAACCTGTAATCGGAACCCGGGCGCCGCGCTGCCTCGGAAGCCGGCGGCGAGGGCCCTGGAGCGCGCTGGCCGGCGGGGCCGGGGCCGGGCATCTGGCCGGGGGAGCGTGCTGGGCGCCGTGCACAGGGGCCACCAGCCCTGGGGCCGGGAGCCTGGCGTGGCAGGACGTGGGTCGGCGGATGCTCTTTTCGGTGTCTGGGGCCCAAGTCCCGGTTTGGAGCCCGTCTCGCTTCCGCAGGGCCTCCCCAGCCTCCGGGATGGAAGGAACGGACCTGGGCATCCGGGAAAGGAAATAAATGAGTTTCCGGGGAAGTGGAGCCCTTGTTTTGCGGGCGAACGAGTGGGGGCAAAGGGCTATTCATTATGGTTTTGTGTTTTCTTTTTTCAGGCGTTGAGGGTCAGATGCTCTCAGAGGGCGCCCGGCCTTGCTCCGGGCCGCCCACTGCGGATTGCACGTCAGGACACTCAGACCCAGGCACCGGGCACGTCCAGCCGCAGCGGTGGCGTGGCCAGTGCTGAATGCTAAGTGAAGTCCCTGTCCCCAGAAAGACAGATTGAAAAGGAAAAAAAAAAAAAAAAGACAGTGTAGATCTCGGACTGAGTCCCGATTCAAGGATTTGGAGAAGCAGCCAGATGGTTGGTTTGGGTCTGGAATCCAGGCTTCTCTGTCCCCTACGGTGTGGCAGACCCGTGTTTTCCTCCCGGAGCCGCTCTTGCGGCTGCTGACCTTGCCATCTGTCGGGGAGGAAGACTTAAAACATAATGTTGAGGATGATACGGATTTCTCACCTCTGCAAATAGCGTCTCCGCTTCTGTCCCTCCTGAATTATTGATCTTACTGCGGCACGCTGAGTGGCCTGAGCCGAGGGCTCTGTTCCTTCCTTTTTCTCAGCCCCTCGCCCCCATGCACGTGGCAGGCCACCTCCTGGCTCCCACTGACCCTCCTGCTACTTAGCTTTCACCTCCAGCCGCTCAGCCTTCCTCTGGCCTGGCTGCCCCCTTGTCTAGGCTGGGCCCCACCACCTGGAATGTGTTCCTGCCTGCCCCCCCTCCAGCCCAGCTCCCCCACACCCCGCCTGGGCCACCTGCCAGTGTGCAGCCAAGATCAGTCCTGCTGCCATGCCCGCTCTCGGGAGCAGAGCTCTCTGGGGGTTGCTATCAGCACAACAGGAGAGGTTCCGCCTCCGTGCTACTTTGTAGTCTGAAGTCAAGCACATAACTGCCACCTGCCTCTTCCCTCCCCGAACCCAATGGAACATCCACCCATGTCCATCAGCTTCCCTCGGACCCTCTGACATCGTTCCTTCCCCAGAGTGACAGCCACCCTGCCCCAGAAATCCGGGTATCCGCTGCCCCTCTGAGGGTCTGTAACTGCCCCCGCCTGTGGGTTTGCGGTGCCAGCTTTCCTGCCCCGTCCTTTCTGCTGTCTGCAGACGCAGATGGGTGGGTGAGAGGACAGAGTGAGGATGGGGATTCCTGGCTCCACACGGGAACCTACACAACATAGTTCTCCCACATTCAGTTTCACCTTTTCTGTCAAAAAACACGAAGTTTACGTTTAAAGTTTCCATTTCCCCTGCTTCTCAACTCTGACTCTTATTCATCCACCCAGCGAGTTATTTTCCATTGTCACAGATTAAGTAAGATCAGTTATGTGAAGCATTTACCCAGTGCTGGGGCATTCGTACTTCATATACAGCTGCTGTTATTCTTGGCTGCTGATACCCCTGATTTACCAGAGGGTGCATCACTGAGGGTAGGCTTCCCTCCGGTTTCCTCCGGGATGCTGGCTGTTCACATCTAATGCGGCTCAGAGGGGGAGGAGGTCCTTGTCTGGTAACTGGATGGATTACAACTCTTGAAAGTAGTCCGTCCCCCCCTTTTTTTATTTATTTATTTTTTTAAATATATTTTATTGATTTTGTACAGAGAGGGAGAGAGAGAGATACAAAGTTAGAAACATCGATGAGAGAGAGTCATCGATCAGCTGCCTCTTGCACACCCCCGTACTGGGGATATGCCCACAACCAAGGTACATGCCCTTGACCGGAATCGAACCTGGGACCTTTCAGTCCCCAAGCCGACGCTCTATCCATTGAGCCAAACCGGTTTCGGCCCCCCCCCCCCTTTTTTTAAATAAATCTTTATTGTTCATATTATTACAAATGTTCCTCATTCCCCTTTCCATTGCTCCCCTCCACCAGGTTCCCACCCCACCTTCTACCTTTCCCCATTGTCCTCATCCATAGGTGCACAGTTTATGTTCAGTCTCTTCCCACATCCCCCTCTCCCCTTTTCCCCAAGAATCGTCAGTTCACTCCCCTTCCATACCTCTGATTCTATTATATTCAACAGTTAATATTGTTCATCAGATTTTTTTTAATTCCCTTGGTTTTTAGATTCACTTGTTGATAGTTACGAATTCGTTGTTCATAGTTTTTATCTTTATTTACTTTCTCTTCCGAAAGAACCCCTTTCAGCAATTCATATAATTCTGGTTTGGTGGTGATGAACTCCTTTAGCTTTTTTTTTTATTAGTGAAGCTCTTTATCTGGCCTTCGATTCTGAGTGATAGCTTTGCTGGGTAGATTATTTGAAAGTAATTCCCTTTTAAGAGGGTGAGAAAGCCAGTGTTCTCATTCGATGCCCTAGATCAGCAGTCAGCAAACCGCGGCTCGCGAGCCACATGCGGCTCTTTGGCCCCTTGAGTGCTCTAACGCCACTTCTTCAAAATAGACTCGACTTCTGCTCACGGGCCACGAAGTTCCAATCGCACTGTACGTGCGCGCCCACATGTGATGTTTTGTGAAAGAGCCATACTCAAGGGGCCAAAGGGCCACATGTGGCTCGAGAGCCGCGGTTTGCCCCTTCGCACTAGATTATGTTGCGTAGAGCTAGAACATAAGCACCTGCTACGCATGAAGGAAAGCTGTGCTTTTTGAGTCTTTTATTGGGGACCATCCCCTGAACGGCCTGTGCTGTGTGAGTGAATGAGGGCCGTACTTGGGAACACCCCCTGCCTGTCAGAAGCCACGAGAACTGTCACCCAGAACTGTCAGGCCAGAGTCCTGAGAAGCGCCCTGTCCCCCTGTTCTCATACTTGCTGCTTCCTCCAGGTGCTGTCTGAGGTGCCCTATTGCCGGTGGCCTGTGCTGCCATGCTGTGCAGAGTGCCCTGCACCCCGCTCCTAGCTCCTAGCTCCCATCTCCTAGCTCACTGAGGCCCGAGGGAAGACGCCTGGGCGTTAGCCCTGCAGACAGGAACTGTGGAACTGGGAGCCCCAGGGCACAGTGGAGAGCCGAGGGAGAGAGGATCTCAAGTCTCCTGTGTGGGTCCGTGCCCTTTCCTTAAGGTGACCAGACGTCCTACTTTTGGCGAGACAGTCCTGATTTTTAACAATTTGTCCTGCGTTTTAAAAAAGTCCCGATTTTATTTTATTTTTTTAAATACATTTTTATTGATTTATTACAGAGAGGAAGGGAAAGGGATAGAGAGCTAGAAACATCGATGAGAGAGAAACATCGACCAGCTGCCTCTTGCACACCCTCTACCTGGGATGTGCCCGCAACCAATGTACATGCCCTTGACCGGAATCGAACCTGGGACCTTTCAGTCCGCAGACCGACGCTCTACTGCTGAGCCAAACCGGCTTCGGCAAAAGTCCCAATTTTAATCGGGACTTTTTTAAAACGCCGTGGGACGCGGGACAAATTGTTAAAAATCGGGACGTCTGGTCACCTTTCCTTTCCTCTCAGTGCCTCTGGAGCCTGTGACCTTTCTCTGCTGAGTCTCAGGTTCCTCAACTGTAAAATAAGAACAATCCCTAAACATTTGTTCTTGGTTTTTACAGGCATGCCCTTTTTGGGAGATCCTATCCTGTTTCCCCGAAAATAAGACAGTGACTTATATTAATTTTTTTTCCCCAAAAGTTGCACTAGGTCTTATTTTCAGGGGATGTCTTATCTTTCCATGTGCTAGGTCTTATTTTCGGAGGATGTCTTATTTTCAGGGAAACACAGTAGTAACACATCTGATTCTTTTTTTTTTTTTTTTTAATCTTTGCTCAAGAACATGCTTAGAGCTGAAACCACTTTGGCTCAGCGGTAGAGCGTCAGTCTTCGAACTGTAAGGTCCCAGGTTCAATGCAGGTCAAGGGCATGTACATTGGTTGCGGGCACATCCCTGGTAGGGGGTGTGCAAGAGGCAGCTGGTCGATGTTTTTCTCTCATCGACGTTTCTAGCTCTCTCTCTCTCCCTTCCGCTCTGTAAGAAAAAAATCA